GGGGAAGGGGACGAGAAGGCCAGTTTGGGAAGGCTGAGTCTGAGGTGGAGTATACATCGGCTGGTGGGTCCATGGGGCTACAGGGCAGGAGAGAGGACTGGGCTGGAGCTAGACATTCCTGGACCTTCAGGAAGGGGCTTGGGGGTGGCCTGGGATGAGGGAGATCTTCAGGGAGTGGGGGGCAATGAGGGATCCAGGGAGATGCCAAGGACTAGACAGGGAGCACCAACATTGACCGGGTATGGGGTGAAAGGATCCCACAGAGGAGTGGCCAGAGAGAAGAGGGAATCAAAGGGGGCTCGTCCTGGAAGCGAAGAAAGAGGGGGCTTCAGGAAGGGGGATGTGCCTCTGAGACACATATAGAGAGTGGGTCCCCACGGGGAGGCCCCTGGGAGAAGAGGACAGCTGGCCAAGTTGGAGGCTGAGTCTGAATGGGTGGAGGGATCAGGAGAAGACATGACGCGAGGCCCAGAGATTCAGCCGCGCAGAGGTGTTTGGTCTGTGTGTAGAAACTGGCTAATTTCACACAACAATGTGGATTTCTGACTTCTCATGAAAAACAGAGACAGCCCACAACCCAAGCCTACAGTCCTCCACGGCAGGAACCTGAGGGGCTGACTGGGGGCTGCTTCCCCGAAGGAGCCCTGCGCTCTTGACTTGGTCTCACACACTGGCTGCTTTCAGCATCTGTGGAGCCGGCTCCTCAGGCCTGAAGGCACTGACTTTGCTGCCCCCGGTGCCCCTCCCTCTGATGGAAGCTCACTGCGTGTAGGGAGACAGCACAAGGGCAGGAGGAGCTGAACTGGACCCCAAGCCCCAGTTCCCTGCCCGGTAGCCTGCCTCCCTCTTTGATGGATGCCAGACCATGCAGCATCTGACCTGGAAGCCTGAGGTGGGAAGCAAGGGGCACAGAAGCCAGTCAAAGCCCCAAGGGGGGACCCCACTTCCTGGCCATCTGTGATGCCCCGGAGGCAGGGGTGGGGGAAGGAGGGGCCCTGTCAGCAGCTTTGCCCGTGCTTAGAAATAAGCAGCCGAGACAGCCTGTGTGTTATACAATGAGGACACCAGGAAAGCTCCCCACTGGCCTGCCTCGTTGCCTGAAATCTCCCCATTAAAACTTGCTTCTCTTGGTAAGCATTGGCCTCTTGGGCTGCCCTCCAGGATTCCAGTGCCTCTGCAGAAGAGCTCATGCTTTTTGGGTCTGAATAAGTGTTTCGGGCATGAGAAGGACCTCAGGGGCCCCGCATGGCGGTGATAGGGGAACATCTGGAAAGATCCTTAATGGCTTCAGTCTGGCTTGCGGGGGGGTGGGGGAGGGCGGGGGACGGTCTCAGGCAACCCTCCCCTTTTAACCACTGACACCAGCTGTGTTTACAGCTCTGGGATACAAGGCCGTTCTCACTGAACAAAAATTCTGAGGCTCTGAGCCTCAAGGGACTGACATCATTTGGAGAAGGTGTGGAGAGGTCTGGCCACACCATAGGCTGGGGACTCTGCAGGGGAGATAAGACCCGAGATTCTCAGGCCTCTCCAGGGCCTTCTCCCCCATGCTGTGCCTTTTCCCACAAGCATCCTGCTGGAAGGGAAGGAACCTTGGCCTCTACCAGAGAGAGTCACTAGTGGCCAAACAGAGACACTTATCTTTATCTGCTCCATTCTTACTGGCCAACCAGACAAGTCCCTTCACTTCCCTGGGTCTTGACCTCTTTGGCCATCACATGGGGCTAATGCAACCTGCCTGCCAGGGCTGCTGTATTAGAGCCAGGGTGCAGAAGAACCGAGCTCTGCGTGAGCTCAGCGTGGGCCACCATCAGCAAATGGGGGCTGCTTTTTTCCTGGCACTGTCCCATGCTCACTGTCACTGTGTGTATTTTTGTTATTTTTGCTGAGCCCAGCCCTCTGGCTGCTGAGACAAGCTCACGGGTCACCTATGAGTCATGCCAGGCCTCCACCCACTCTGCCCAAATCCCTGCCCTCTGGAGCCTTTGGCCAAGGCTCACAGCCAGGCAGGGGGAAGGTGTGGGCAATCCAGATCCCAGGAAGGGTCTTCAGACTGCTCACTGGATCTTCTCTGGAAGTCTGGGTTAGGACCCTGAGGCCAACACCCCTTCTAAGAGGGGCAACCACTGCATGAGGATCAAGTCAGGGAGTGAGGTTGAAAAAGCTTTTAGATTTTGGAATCCTGGATCCTGGCTTGGGTATGCACTATAGTTCTGTGACTCTGGCCACCTCACAGAAATCTGCTGAGCCCTTAGTGACCTCATCTGCAAAATGGGGATAGTATTTTACCTAGCTCAAAGGACTAAGTGATGATTAAATTATGGGAAGCACATACATACCACACACACACGCATTCCTAGCATATTTGCCAAATACATGGTGGGCACTTGGTAAATATGACCTTTAACCTTCTCCTACGAGGACCTTACACAATTGTCTTACTTTCAGTACTTTCTCCAATTAGTCACTAGGGTCAGAGCTCTGTCTGTGGCCAGGGTAGGGGCCCAGTGTGTGATTAGGGCTCAGTCTATGACCGGAGTCAGGGCTCAGCGTATGACCAAGGTCAGTCTCAGTCTGGGACCAGGGTCAGGGCTCTCAGGCTCACCCAAGAAAACCAAAGATCCTCCAAATATGACTCACTGGCTCTGACCTGTGCTCTGCCCCGCCCACTGTGGCTCCGGCCAAGCCTTCCCCCACGTGCACAGAGGAAGCAGCCCTTCCCCTCCCTGTCCTGGCTCCAGCCCTGTTCCTTAGCTCTGGGCAGCAGGCGGTCAGAGCAGCCACTGCCAACTGGCAACCCAGCCACCAATCCTTTGGCCGAGGGTTAGAACCCCACAGGATGTCTCCTGGCTGGCCCCTTCCCCAGACCCTGCCTGTGAGGGCACCCCCCCACCTGTTAGGGCCACTGCCTTCCTGGTCCCTGCTGGGCTCTGACTGGCAGGTCTCTCTGTGCCAGGCCAGGAGGCAGGTGTTGGGCACTGCTCAGGCTCAGATCGGTCAGGGGAGACCTGGGGCCCGGGCACTGGCCCAGCAGACCTGGACTTGGAATCTGTCTTGCATGTACAGCTGGGGCTCTTGTTGTCTCTTAAGAACGGACACTATTTCCCAGGCCAGAGCACGAATCAGCTTGGCAAGCCTTGAAACAGCACAGAGACCAGAATAGACATCCTGGCCACGGGAAGACTAAGACTCAGAGAGGGACAGGGACTACCCTGTCAGGGGCAGTGAGCCAGATTCTGGGGTTTCCTGATCCCATTCTCACTTTTCTCCACTGCCCCACCGCTTTCTTCTGACAGATCTTCCATGCCCACCGTGGGCACTGGGGGTAACCTTTACTCTGTGTCATACTTCACACCTGTCAGCATCTCCTACTGGCTCCCCATCCCTACAGCCCTCTGAGGCAGCTTCCTAGGAGAGGCATTTGAGCAACGAGAGGACAAGGAGCCTTCCCAAAGTCACAGAGCAAGCTAGAAATGGGGCCGGATTCATTCAACAGTTATTGACAGCCTCCTATGCTCCGGGTGCTGTGTTAAATAGTAGGGATAGAATGGGGAGCAATACAGACCTGGTGGTCACTTGTTGAACTAGAGGGCCACTATGGGGGTAGGTTCGAGAAAGAGTAAGCCAGGAATCCCATGAAAGCACATCAAACTTGTGAGGCCAGCTGTGACACTGCAGAAGTAAAAGGTCCCAGGGAGGCGTGGAATGTAGGAAACTTTGGCCTGGTCTGGGAGGTCAGGGGGGACCTCCTGGAGGAGGTGATTTAGCTGGGATCCAAAGAGGGGAGGGGAAGGGAGAATGTTCTGGGGGAGGGATCCTGAAAGGCGTAGGGAGAGAGGAAACAGGGTCTGCTCAGAGAACTGAGAGATAGACACGTGGTACAGCTGGAGCGAAGAAAGGGAGATGGGAGTCATGCTGCTGGGGATCTGGAGGGGGCCGCAAGGACCCAACCTTGCTGGGTCTAGAATCCTCTTTACCCTGGGAGCAGTGAGAACCCTTGGGGTTTGAAGATGGGTAAGATCAGATGTGCTAAGAAGAGAAAAGTGCAGAAGCTTAAGGTGGGGCGAGCCGGCAGAGAGAAGCAGCCAGATTTCAGATACAGGAGACACATTTACAGGACTCAGGAATGGAGTGGGCGGGGGGGGGG